GTTGGTTTTAAAGTTTCAATTTCAGTAGTTAAGTTTTCAATTTTCCATTCTTCTCCTGCCAAAAGAGAAGAAGAGACTGGTTCTGGTCCAAAGAATTTGATTCCTTTAGACTCGATTGTCTTAATTATGTTATCAATTTTAATTTTAAATCTTGGGCAAACTTGTGTGGATAATCTTCCCATTAAGATTACGTCTAACACAATGTTTGATCCCTTAAAATTTCCAAATCCCTTTGTTTGGACTTGAATTTTTAAATACTTAATGTCTTTTAAAGCAATAGTATAATTTGGACATAAATAATGAATTCCAATATTATTATTCATGTCTACTTCTATTACCCCAATAATTTGTTTATTTAGTGAGGATTGATATCTAGTGTCTAAAACAGCAACTAAGACTTTTGTCCCGTTTTGTTTTATTAGTAATCCTCTTACTCCAATTGTAATTAATCTCAAATGTATATAATTTAAGTTTTTGGAAGAAATTTGATTTATACTTTCATTTGTTAATAATCCGAACGTTTCAGTCCTTCCTTCTGGTATTTCTAACATTTCGGATCTATGTGTTCTAATTAAACTGGAATTGTTTTCTAAAACACCAGTTCTGTATAACATATTTGGTCTTAATGTATTAATGCAATCATTTGACATAATTTCTAAGTCTCTTTCTGTGTCAACAATTTGTTCTAATTTATAGGCATTTTTGTTTGAGTTAAATTTTAAAAGTCTGTTTAAATAAGAGGGACTGTTAGTTTGGTTTAGTGTGCTAATTCTAGAAGAACTAGGTTCTTCTGAAGTTAATGTTCTTGACCTTCCCGAAAAAGGATTCATTATTTATTTAAATTTTTCTTGACTTCCTCTAAATTGTATGTCAAAAAGTTTTTTGTTTTGGATTTAATTTGTGAAGAAATCTGAATATTAGAAAATTTTTTAGATAACAAATCTATGGAATTATTTATTTCAATTAATTTTGAATTTTCAATTATTTGTTTTTCTCTTATTACTAAGTCAAATTTTGTATTAAAATTTTCAATTAATTTTAGTAAATTTGAAATTTTCTTTTATTGCTGTTCCATCATAGTTTTTAAATAATCAATTTGTTTTAAAATTATTTCATTTGACTGATTCATATTAACAGATTAGCTTTGCTATACAATTTTCAATTTCTTCTAAAATGTCTTTATGAGAATCATAAGTGTTTTTCATTGTTTTATAAAAAGAAGAATTTGGATCATAATTTTTCCCTTCAGTGTCTAACCATTTTTTAGATTCTAATGCTCTATTTTTATAAAATTTTTGGTAATATTTTAAATGTGAAATTTTTTCAGAAAAATTCATGCCGAAATTTCTGTAATATAACTTTTAAGTTCAAGAATTTTCTTAAGTGTAAATTCATAATTATTATAGGAATATACACACTGTTCCCAATTTTGTAAATAACAATAGTATTGCATATCTGCTTGAAAAACTTGAAGATTATGTTCATAATTTCTAAGTTTTCAAATGCAAAATTTTAAACATGAATGAATCATTTTAATTTCTAAGCCTTAGATAATGAAATTTATGCAGAGATTTCTGTAATATAACTTTTAAGTTTTTGTATTTTATTAAGGGTAAATTTATGTCTCCAATAAAATTCTTCATAATATTTCCAATTTTGTAAGTAATGATACTTATGCATTTCTTTGAAATAAATATGGAGCTCTTGTTCAAGTTCTCTAAGTCTCTAAATTAAAAATTTTAAATATGAATGAATCATATAATTTTCTCAGAATCGTAATAGGCTCTGATACCAAAATATGAGGGGTATGCCTCCGCAGAGGTTTAAATATATATATATATATATATATATATATATATATATATATATATATATATATATATACACTGAATGTTCACAATTTACATACTAAATGTTTACAATTTAAATTGTAAACATCCAATATGTAAATTGTGTATTTTAGACCCAAGGTGGAGAGTGCAGTGGACCTGGGTCCATGGTATAACTGTAGACATCTTTAGTTCCCCTTCACTGGATTTTTCTTAATCCCTCATTTTGGGTGGAGGTGGGCATGAAGGTTATTAAGGGATATAAACCATACATTGTTTACGGGGGCAATTTATATCGTGGACCAAGATCAACATAGCATTATGGACCTAGGATCAAAACGATGTGGTTTTGATATTTAAGTTTAATAGAATCTGTATTTTTCCTTTTCTCATGTTTAAACACAATTTTTAATTTATTCTTAATACAGATATAAAACTCACAACACAAGACACATACACATGTTATTAGGACTCTATTATTCATATTAGACTAGGACTATATTATTCGTGTTAGACTAGGATTCTATCTAGCATCTCTATATATTCGTTCCCTGTACTCTCAGACATTATTATTGAATATAACACAATTATATTCTTATCTGGTATCAGTTAGTTAGGGTTTTCTTTTCCAACATCCATGTTCCTCACTTCGTAGTAGTAGCCGATGGCATCGAACCAAGATACACCGTATGAGAAGCGGTCCGGTCAACGACGTGACATTGGTGATCTGTGTCAAATTTGTAAAGGTTTCAGCCACATGGGAGCCAATTATTTTTGGCGTTATGATGATCCGTGTCAAATTTGTAACCGTTTTGGTCACACGGGAGTCAATTATTTTTGGCGCTATGATGATCCTTGTCAAATTTGTAAATGTTTTGGTCACACAGGAGCCAACTGTTTTCGGCGTTATTCGGGGGCTCTGGGTTTTCAGGCTAATGTGGCCGTCTCTGGTGGTAATGGTGATTCCAACGGTCATCATCAGTGGTTCCCTGACACTAGTGCTACAAATCATGCTACGCCTGATTCTTCTTTGATGACTTCTGCGACAAGTTATGATGGCCCGGAGACTCTGCGAGTCGACAATGGTACAGGTTTGCCTATTATTAATGTTGGTTCTGCTTCGTTAGCTACTGATTCTATGTCTTTTAAGTTACATGATGTTTTGCATGTCCCTGGTCTCTTTTCTTCTCTATTATCTGTCCAGCGTTTTGCAAAGTACAATAATGTTTTCTTTGAGTTTCACCCTCTTTGTTTCTATGTGAAAGACATTTTGACTAAGAAGGTTCTTTTTAAGGGACATGCGTCTGGGGGTCTCTACACATGGCATGCATCTTCTGCTTCCCCTGCTGCATTTGTTGCTACACGGTCCTCTTACGTTTGGCACATGCGGTTGGGGCATCCTCATTCTCGAGTCTTACGTAAAATTTTAGCGTCTTCGTCTGTTGGTACATTTAATTCTAGTGATCTTCCCAATGTCTGTTCCTCTTGTCAATTAGAAAAATCTTATCGTTTTCCTTTGTCTCATGTCGAAACTACTAGTACGCATTCTTTGGAATTAATTTATTCAGATATTTGGGGCCCTGCGCCATTACTTTCTGCGTCTGGCTATAAATATTTTGTGTTGTTTGTGGATGATTACACTCGTTATATGTGGTATTATCTCATGCATGCTAAATCTGATTTGTATGCTATATTTGATAAGTTTTGGTCACTAGTTGAACGTTCCTTTTTTCGCAAGATTATTTCTTTTCAATCTGATTTAGGGGGGGAATATAAAAAGCTTGGTTCCACTCTTGCGTCCTTAGGTATTCGTCACAGGCAATCCTGTGCGTATACTCATGAACAAAATGGCAGGGTAGAACGTAAGCATAGGCATGTTATTGAAACGGGACTAGCATTAATGACTCAATCCTCTGTTCCGTCTCGTTTTTGGGATTATGCTTTTGAAACTGCGGTTTATCTAATTAATAAAATGTCCACTCCTGTCTTATTGATAAATCTCCTCATTATCTTTTGCATCGGTCTCCTCCATCTTATTCATATCTGCGTGTTTTTGAGTGTTTATGCTGTCCAAATCTGCGTCCCTATAATCGCAACAAACTACAGTTTCGGTCATCCCCTTGTGTCTTTCTAGGATATCCTCAATCTTTTCGTGGCTATCGTTGTTTAGACACTAACACTAACAAGGTTTTTATCTGTCGCCATGTGCGATTCGATGAGGTTGTCTTTCCTTTTGTTGCTTCTGTGGATTCACAGGTTCCAAAACCACGCTCGGAGCCGTGGGGTGTTGCACCAATTGTTTCTGGTGGTGATCCGACTATTGTCACTGCTCGTGACCCTCCTGCCGCGCCCATAGCCACTTCTGACCACTACTGCCAGCAGCCTGCTACTGCCGAGCCCGTGACCTAGTCCAAGCGAACAGTCACGGACCAGCCGGCTCCTCGGCCAAGAGGCCGGCCTCGTGGTCGGTCTCGTCTTGCGCCCTCACCCGTTCGCTCTCATGGAATGAATACAAGAAGTTCGGGACCACATGATCATGTTGCTTTATCTGCTGCTGTTACTCCTGAGCCTACATGTTTTACTCAAGCGGTTAAATTTCCTGAATGGCGGGATGCAATGGATTTGGAATTTAATGCCTTGGTGCACAACAATACATGGAGGCTTGTTCCCTTTAAATCAGATGTGAATGTAGTTGGATGTAAGTGAGTGTTTAGAACCAAGAGAAAGTCTGATGGTTCGATTGAGCGTTACAAGGCTCGGTTAGTTGCCAAGGGATTCAATCAGATTGCCGGTGAGGATTTCTTTGAGACCTTTAGTCCCGTTGTTAAACCGATTACGGTACGTTTTCTCTTATCCCTAGCTATTTCTCGTGGATGGCCTATTCGACAGCTAGACATACACAATGCTTTCCTAAACGGCAATCTCGCTGAGATAGTTTATATGCGCCAGCCCCCTGGCTATGAAGACAAAACAATGCCCGGGCACGTTTGTCTCCTTTAACGTTCTTTGTATGGGCTTAAGCAAGCTCCCCGTGCTTGGTTCACACGTTTGCATGATTTTCTGGTTTCTGTTGGTTTCTCACCTTCCAAGACTGATATATCTTTATTTATATATTCACATGGCAATACTTGTCTATATTTTCTGGTTTATGTGGATGATATTTTGGTTATTATGGGTTCTGATTCGGCTCATGTGACTGATCTTATTAACAAGTTGGCTCTTGAATTTAAAGTTTGTGATATGGGAGTGCCCTCTTTTTTCCTGGGTATTGAGATTATTCTGTTGTCTGGTGGCATGCTTCTGTCTCAACAATGGTACATGAAAGATATTTTAAAACGGGCAGGTATGGTTGATTGCAAGCCCGTGGCCACTCCGGTTTCAACCGCGAAGGCCGAGACTGGTGTTGTGGTGCCATATGCTGATCCCACTCAGTATCGTAGCTTTATAGGTGCTCTACAATATCTTACGATAACTCGTCCTGATCTTTCCTATGCAGTCAATCGTTTGTGTCAGCACATGCATTCTCTTCCACTGCGGATTGGGCGGCTCTCAAGAGGGTGTTACGATATATAAATGGGACACTACATCTCGGTCTTAAAATTACTTCCTCTCCCTCTCTGGATATTCATGCTTATTCTGATTCCGATTGGGCTGGCAATCCTGATGATCGAAAATCTACCAGTGGTTTTGCTGTGTTTTTGGGGACCAATCTTGTCTCATGGGTTTGTCGAAAACAGCGTATTGTGGCTCATTCCTCAACTGATGCAGAATACAAAGGACTCGCTGATGTTTCTGCAGAGGTTACTTGGATCGTATCTCTGATGAAGAAACTCGGGTTTGCGCCACCTTCTGCACCCAAACTCTGGTGTGATAATCTGGGTGCTACTTATCTATGTGCTAATCCGGTGTTTCATGCTCGCACCAAACACATTGAGACCGACTACCACTTTGTTCGCGATAAGTAGCAAAGAAGGAATTACAAGTCAATTTTATTTCTACCAAAGATCAGATAGCAGATATTTTTACTAAGTCTCTTTCGTTTGTACGTTTTAATTTACTCCGTTCCAAGCTCAATGTTTTGTCTGACCGAACTTGTACTTGAGGAGGAGTATTAGGACTATATTATTCATATTAGACTATGACTATATTATTCGTGTTAGACTAGGATTCTATCTAGCATCTCTATATATTCGCTCCCTGTACTCTCAGACATTATTATTGAATACAACACAATTATATTCTCATCCATGTTATATATTTACTTATTCTCAAATCTAATTTATGTAAATAATATGTCCTATGGGCACATAATTTCATAATACAAGGAATAAATTCGTAAAATAAGGCACACAATATATTGTGTGTTACACAACTACTAATCTATTTCAGGTACAAAATTCATACCCTTAAGGTACAGAATTGCATAACATGAGGCACAGAAACGCATAACACAAGACACATACACATGTTTTATATTTACTTTAGTTCAAGTACAGAATCAATATTCTTAAGGTACAAAATTACATAACATAAGATACAAAAACGCATAACACAAGACACAAAAGCACATGTTATATTTAGTTATTTACTTTATTTCAGGTACAGAATTACATAACATGCGACACAAAAACGTATAACACAAGACACATACACATGTTTTACAATAAAAAACAAATTGTGATGTGAATTGAACAACAAAAGCACCATCAAAATTAAAATTCAAAACTACGTCGTTTAGGATCAGGATCCATAACCCTGGTCCACGGTATACCGATGGATTTACAGCTGCACGATACATAAAAAAGGATTTAAAAAACTAATTATTCCTAGAATATATGAACACAGGTTTAAGAAAAATTATGTTTATAATTGAAATATAGGAGTTTTATCAAATGCTCTTTACTACAATGCCTCTTTCTAAAAATTGAAAAAAGAAAGAGTACTCTTAAAATATAATGCACAAAATTTACATTGTAGAAGACCATTAAATGTCTGACTCATCAAATTAGAAATTACTACCCAAGTTACTGCAATATTTGAATAGCTCATCAAATATTTAATTAGCCAGTTTGACAAAACAGCAAGAATATAAGATACCCCTTCCACTAGTGAAGCTTATTCTCTATTTCTCAGAGGGGCTTAGGAAATCGCATATTCTGCATATAGAAGAAACAATATATAACACATGTGAAGTAACCCAGTCAAGCTGGTTAAGGATACAAATTTGTAACCACAAAATCACCAGTTTGAATCCCAACCTCCTTGATTTGAGCCAATTAGCTATTATGAGCAACCATAAGGTTTACCCGGTGCACACCCTCGAGTAATGGTTGGGGTTTCCCTCGTCACCCCAAAATAAATATATATAACACATGTTGCTCAGCTTCATGCCTGATCATTATGCAGATTTCTCAAACAGGTATAAATCTGCACTTCTGTATAATTAATTGCAGAATCTTATGATTGATTCAAGGATAACCATGTTCTTACTTCCCTCTTAAACTCATGCTCTTGCGCTTCTGGTTCAGCGCAAATCGTCTTGCCATAGCAGGGTTGTAGAAGGTCCTCATATGCTCCGACAGTTTATGTATAGCTTTAAGATTACCAACTTCAGAAAGCTGCAACAGAAAAGAGTCAAATTTCTGATAAGGAAGCTTCATTCCCCGGGATATCACTTCTTCCAACAGAAAACACGCGTCTTGAGTATTATCGCTAGCAAAGAGCCCTTCAATCATCACACAGTACGTCTCTGTATCCCGTGCACAGCCTCGATTATCCATCTCCCGCCATGTCTCAAATGCACCATCGACATCATTAGTCTTAAAAAACATCGCAATTAGCATGTTGAAAGTTTGTACACTAGGAACACAACCCACTTCGATCATTTTATGATAAAGCCTAAGTGCTTCATCTCTGTCATTATTGTGGCACAGGACCTTAAGAAAGCAGTTGAAAGTAACAATATCAGGAGGATAACCTTTGCTTCCCATCTCTTCCAGAAGTTTATAAGCCGCCTCGATCTTTCCAACCAAATACATACCTTCAATGAGATCTTTATATGTTGAAACATCAGGAAGGCATCCGCTACTTATCATATCCCCAAGAACCTTAAAGCATTCCTCCATTCTATCATTCTGGACAAGAGCCACGATCATAATGGAATAGGTTTTTGCAGTGGGGCTAGACATGGTTGAACCTTGAGTTCTCATAAATTCCAGTAGTTCAGAAGCCTCTGTAACCATGCCCGCTTTGCAAAAACTATCGATTGCTGTATTGTATGTAAAGTTATCAGGTGTATGCCCCATTTTGATCATGTCTTCAAGTACGCCCATACCTCTAGTTGGGTTTCTAACTCTACACCATCCGAAAAACAGAATGTTATAAGTATCTGCATTTGGGTTTAACTTGTTCTTTAATCTCCTAAACATGGCTTCAGCATCCTCAACAAGAGCGCACTTACATAGAGCATCTAACAGTAAATTGAAGGCATAGATCTCGGGTGGCGTCTTCGCCCTTATTTTCTTCTTCCTTGCAAATTTGTGAAGATGAGTCAAATGCTTTTCAGTATGCTGCCTCAGAATAGTTAGCATCGCTTCGACAGGAACAGAACTCTTACTGTTCCTCTTCATGTAGTCCAGAAGATCACAAACAATTCGGAACTGCTTTACCTTGTACTTTGTACTGGACAATATATCAATCATCTCATTATACACCTGAGACTCATGACCATAATTTTCCTGCTTCCCCGCCCACGTGAAGAACCTAAATGCTAATTTCTCCTCATATCGAAGCTTATTCAGGACCTCTACCACCAGAGGAGTAGTCAGTTCCACGCCTAGTTTATCGAGAGCTATCTCCATCTTATGCACAGGATTAGCGTAATCCATGATAGTCTGGTATGCCTTATCAGCAGTGCTACAATAATCAGATACATTCTCCAATCCAATAGTTCCTGAAGTGTAATTACGAGAAAAAATCCCACCAAATAAATTTAACAATTGCACATCAAAATTTGAACCTGTTTTTGGAGCCCAAATTGTGCCAGTCGTGCTAATTTTATTCACTGCAAGAAAATTCCATGCAAATATGGTTGTATACCCATGAAGAACTGAGCATGAAAATTTACGGGGATGAAGCATCTGTTGATTCGAGCACATCATCTTAACAACGCTCATGCTCTTGCAACCATATGAAACAACTTTGAGCTGAAACATCGCCAAAAATGGAAAGCTAAGTACAACTTGAAAATTTGCTTGATATCGCAGAACCCAGACCCGATATGTTATGTGAGAGCGCAGAACTACATGGCAAAGTTAAGCAACACGCACACCACCCATTGAAGCCATTCGTCGAACAAGTGGAAGCCAGCCAAAGATCAATACGCGAAGTAGATAACTTGACCTGGATTGTTCAGTATGGATGTACACCACCCATTGTGGCAATTCGTCGAACGAGTGGAAGAACGTCAAATATTAAGGACACAGCAGAGACTTTGATGACTTGATCACTCAGATGGCAGATAAGCGTATCATCTATGCGCATATGGTCAGGGACGGAGCCAGCATTTCCTTTGAGTGGGGGAGAAGATACAACAAATAAAGTGATGTATTCTTAATTCAATGAACTGATAAACATAAGCAAAGCATAATTTATGGAAATAAAAAACACTAAACCATCTCTAATCTTTAACACCAGTTGACAAAATGATGTATTCTTAATTCAATGAGAAAGCTGTATATTTTTTATATAATCAATTAACAAGCTATACTACAAAAATAAAAGACAAAACTACTAATAAAGCACTTTGAAAAGTTAATTACATGACATGTAAAGCACTTCTAATAAAGAACAAAGAGTAAACCATCACCAAAAAAGATTGGGGAGAGAGTAGGTAATCAAGAACATGAATGTTTATTCATTTTATCTAGAAAGATTATTTTTAAAGAACACAACACGTAGCTTGTAAATTTACTTGATTCTTTGATAAAAACCCAAAAATAAAATAAAATAAAAATGAAGATTTACCTGCAGGGTCACAGACTCACACTGCTAATAAAATTCATCAAAATCTGCAAAAACGCATCAAGAAAAATTCCACTTCCTTTATTAAAAGAACTAAAATTCGAAGCAGCATGATATGAGCAGCATATCTTTGTTTCATTGTTTGCTTTTATGAACATATTAGCAACATAATAATACAGAGTATAATGAACACAAGTTCTTTCAAGAAAACAAGATTTCTTCAAGGACAATTAGTTCATTTTTTGTTCATTTTTAGCTGAGACTGGAAATTTGAATTGGATGGTGTATATATGATACCCTCTAGGCATGCTGTACATGTCAATAAAATCATTGATAACATTAAAAATTACATTTTTTTTCTGCTCAATTTATGTTTAAAGGTGTCTTGTATTGGTTCTGCTTGCCGAGTTGCTGATGATTCACAAAATATGTACTAGCAAAGCATAATTTCTGGAAATAAAACACTAGACGGTTTCTAATCTTTAATACTAGTTGACAAAATGATGTATTCTTAATTCGATGAGAAAGCTATATATTTTTTACACAACCAATTAACAAGCTATACTACAAAAATAAAAGAAAAAAACTACTAATAAAACACTTTGAAAAGTTAATTTAATCAATTTAAATGACAAGTAAATCACCCCTAACAAAGAACAAAGAGATTACCAAAATGGCAAAATAAACTCTGCAAGGCAAGTAATTAGGGAAAATCTGCAAAAATCCTCAAAATCTGCAAAATTAGGGAAAAATTAGCAAGTAATTAGGGCAAATGAACTTACAGATCCAAGAAATTCGCAATTAAAGGTTGAAGGACTGACCGCTGCCGAGCTGCCGTCCACCCAGAACGGCCAGAAGTACTCCTCCATCTCCTCGTATGTCATCTCTTTGTTCAGTTGTTCTTCTTCACGGGCTGCCGAGCTGGTGTGACGGACTGACTGCTTACGGTGTCTGGTCGGCGGTGGCGAGTGGCGAGGCAGAGCCGCAGAGGAGAGACCGAGAGAGGAAAGAGGCGACAGTGCGGCTGGGGCGTGGTCTACTGGTTTGGGAAGAAATGAATTTAAATAAAATGATATATATATTTTTCAGTCTGAGCTAAAAAAAAAAATGATATATATATGCCAAGGACTTGCCGTAGGATATGAGAGAATGAGAGATTCTGGTTTCTGGTGGTTAATCCGGTTAGACTATCGACTTTATGGATTTGAGTTAATCAAAATTTTTTTTTTTATCAGATTGGCCCTAATTTTAAATTTCTTAGCGAATCAAAATTAAAAAATGAGGGTGAGTATCCACATTTAGAGCAGTTAAAATAAGTCCAATTCGACATTTAGCCAATTATTAGACTAATTAAGTTGTATATTTCTTCGACCTAATTCGAACAAGCCCACCCAACTTAGTTCAAAAGGGGTATCCGATTATACAAGTTGACATGTGTAATCCACGGGACAGACCATATAACCTGCTACCCCTACCTGCCTACCCTTACCTCAAGTATATTTAAATAATTTTTAATTTATATGTGATTTGTATTAGAATTTAAAATTATTATTAGTAGTAAGAATTAAAATATGAACTTCTAATTAATTTAATCTTAACCGAACAAAGTCAATTATGCTAAAGGTATTTTTTAAACTTTTTTGTATATTTAAATTATTCACAAATATTATATATATATATATATATATATATATATATATATATATATATATATATATATATATATATATATATATTTTATTTATTAGGAAGGGGGAGACCCAAAGAATGTAGAACAAAGTCAGATAGTGCTATACATAAATCTCCACGAGGGGAAGCCAGCTATATCGTCTTCTAAAAAGCTTAGAATATCGTCTGGTGGTGAGTTTAGAATATGTACTCCAGGGGGGAAATTCCTAGAGTAAAATGCAATGTGATCCGCTGTGATGTTCTGTTCTCTTGTTACTTGTGCTGCTTGCCAAAATTCAATGTGGCGGAGCTCTTTTTTTGCATGCTTCGAGGATGTTGTGGGCTGGAATGCGAGGGGGGCTGTTTCCTTTTAAGTAGTTGATGACGTTTGAGGAATCACTTTCTATAATCAGACTGTTGTGTTTCTTGGCTACTGCTAGCTGGATTCCTTTTAGCATGGCCCATGCTTCGGCTTCAAGGGGTGTACAGTTCCCTATATTGTAGGCAAAGTTATTATATATTTATTACGCGCATTATTATATATTTATTTAAGTTACTAGTTTTTTACGCGCATTGCACGATTGGATAATGCCCAATCTTTTTTTTTTTTAAATAAGTACTTTAAAGTATATCAATGCAAGATTATATTGGAATTGTTTATGCATAGATAATTGAATGTTAAATTTGTGTATTTAAATAGGCAATTCTAAGTTTACAAATGCAAGATAATATAGTCAAGATTAATTATAATTGTCAATAAAATAATTGCATAGGTATGGTTGAAACTAAATACTGGACATAAGGGAGAGCAAATAAAAATTAGGGCATAAAATATTAAATATATACTAAAATTGAAGAGCTAACTGCTGATTGCCAAACAAGGACATTGCGAGATAGTTTCTCACTTCAATTTGTTGTGTGATTTGAATACTATTTGTGTCAATAAATCCTCCAAGTAGTTAATATGATTGACTTAATTATATATTTTTATTTATTTTATTTTTAAAAACAATTATTATTATTATTTTATTGTTATTATTAAATATATATATATATATATATATATATATATATATATATATATATATATACCCTTAGGCCTTAGGTCATTTTACATGTTAATCTAAACAGCTAATTTTTTCAAATATCTTTTTATCAACCATTGATATAATTCGCTGGTCAAATTCACTAATATAATCCGCTAACGTTAATCTCTAATTGCTGATTGTCAAACAAGGACATTGCGATGTAGTTCTCACTTCAATTTGTTGTGTGATTTGAATACTCTCTTTGTCAACAAATCACTCAAGTAGTTAATATGATTGGCTTTATTAATTATATTTTTTAAATTTTTTCATGGTATTAATAAAATATTTGGTAAATAAATATATAGCATTATTTTGTATTATAACTTTGATATTTAATTAAAAAATAGTGCACAAAAAAAGATAATAGACAATGTAGTGGATACAATCAATTGATGAATTTGAATGTAAAGAATTTTTACATTGGAGAAATATAAATACAATAAAACTAAGAAAATTATTTCTCTTATTAATTAATTTATGGAAAAATCAACGATTTGGTCCCTCAATTGTTAGCGAAATATCAATGTAGTCACTTAATCGCATAATCATCGATTTAGTCCATGAAAATAACTATTTTTAGTTAATTTAGCCCCTCTGACCGTAGTCCGTCCAAAACCCGGCGATAGCACCGATTTGTCATGGGTAATTTTGTCATTTCGCTTCTTTAAAAATAATGACAACCAACGACGGCCGGAGAGGATCGATGAGAGGATCGGAGTTTTAATTTTTGTCGATTCCAGTAAATTGTACTATAGTTATGGGCAATGGAGATGGCGGCGAGGCACGGCCCGCAATTGCAGCGGAAGATGGAAACGTCAAGCGTTGGTGGGTGGAGGAACGCGGTGACTGGGATTGACGGTGGGCGGCGGTGCCGTAAGGACGCCCATTATTATTGTAGTCCTCAAGATAACAGTATTTAAGGTAGGGACTACTTTCCATAGGCATTATTGATATGCTCACTTCATTTGCACCTTGCTTTTGCCTGCTACTGCACCTTTCTGCACTTTCCTCCCTCCTTATTAACTGTTCGCTCGCCATCTTTATCTATCTATCTATCTATATTCATATCTATATCTATATATATTTCTTTCTATATACTTTCGATCTTCACAAACAAACCTCGTACATTTAATTAACTCGATCAATTCCATCGAATGTTGTAGAATGATTTATATATATATATATATATTTAAGATAGTATGTAGGTCAAGAATGCATGCGAATAAGGAGGAGTCCGTTGAATAACTTGTCCCTTTATTAAATAGATATTTTTATCTTTAAAAATAATGACATCCAAGTGCCACTTTCCCTGATCTTCCTCCGTCCCTGCGTTTTCCATTTTTTCAACTGTCATGTCTTCTATTTCTTACTGTAGATCTAGAGTAGAACCTGCAAATAGTATGTAAAGGGAAACAAAAAATGACTTTATTCTTCAAATAATGAAATCAGGAAGCCGGACTGCGCCCCCGACGGCTGGAGAATTTGGACACCGCTCTATTGGTGGGTTTTGAGTTTAAAGGATGAGATGAAACAGGAATGGATCCCTAAGACGAAGAATTTTTGGTTGAAGAGAGCTGAGCATAAGGATTGGGATGAATTCCGCGTGTTGAACTCCGGCGGCAATGGCGGACAGAGCTCCCATGAATCTGAGCACGGATTGTAGATTTCAACTGCGAGACAGTTCTCGATGTCCACCAGGCTGTCGACGAATTTCACCCTGCCGACGACGATGAACCTCGGAAGCTCCGAATCAGCGTCGTTGAACATGCCCACGAGAGGACTAGACCGCGAGAATCTCAGAGCGCGCACCTGCGCCTGGCAAGAAGAAGACTAAAGAAGCGAAATGACAAAATTACCCATGACAAATCGGAGCTCTCGCCGGGTTTTGGACGGACTATGGTCGGAAGGGGTAAATCAACTAAAAACAATTATTTTCAGGGACTAAATCGATGATTACGCTATTAAGGGACTACATTGATATTTCGCTAACAATTGAGGAACCAAATCGTTGATTTTCTCTTAATTTATTGATAATGAATAATTTTTTTTAATAAAGACATTGTAGGGACAATGTAGCGAATATAATCAATTGATGAATTTGAATGTAACGAATTTTTATATTGAAGAAAAATAAATACAATATAACTAATGACATTATTTCTCTTATTTAATTTATTGATAATGAATAATTTTTTTTGAATAAAGACATTATAGACACATAATTCTAAATTAAAGAAATGCATATGTATTATTTTTTGTTGTAGCTACTAAATTATTATTTTAATTTAATAAGAGTAAAACAGAGTACTAATTATGCCAACTTTGATTAGGATGTGGTTCGAACCTAAGACCTTTCTTATTGAAATCAATGAGTAAGTTAACGGTGAACTAACCGAAATTAACGGAAAAGATAATATTTAACGAAAAAATTAACGGATAATCATATTCATTAAGGATAAATTAAGAAATCTTTAAAAAAATTAAAATCTGATCAATCTGAGCCATTCATTTGATTAAAAAATTTGACCCCCATTTTTTCTACCCATTATAAGCATAACTCTCTTGGGCTCTTGTTAGTATATATATATATATATATATATATATATATATATATATATATATATATATATATATATATATATATAACTAGTTTTTTACGCACATTGTGCGATTGTGATAATGCCCAATGTGTTTTTTTTTTTTTTTAAATAAGTACTTTAAAGTATATCAAGGCAAGATTATATTGGAATTGCTCATGCATAGATAATTGAATGTTGAATTTGCGTATTTAAATAGGTAATTCTAAGTTTAAAAATGCAAGATAATATAGTCAAGATTGATTATAATTATCAATAAAATAATTGTATAGGTCAGGTTGAAACCAAATACGCGACATAATGGAGAGCAAATAAAAATTAGGGCATAAAATATTAAATATATATTAATATTGAAAAGCTAAGTGCTCATTGCCAAACAAGGACATTGCGATGTAGTTTTCCACTTCAATTTGTTGTGTGATTTAATACTCTTTGTCGTTAATATGATTGGCTTATTTATATTTTTTTTATCTTTTATTTTTTAAAACAATTGTTATTATTATTATTATTATTATTATTATTATTATTATTATTATTATTATTATTATTATTATTATTATTATTATTATTATTATGTATACCCTTAAGTCATTTTTCATGTTAATCTAAACAGTTAATTTTTTTTAAATATCTTTTACCAACTGTAATTCGCCGGTCAAATCCGCTAACGCTAACCGCTAATTGTTGATTGTCAAACAAAGACATTGCGAGATAGTTCTCACTTCAATTTGTTGTGTGATTTGAATACTCTCTTTGTCAACAGATCCCTCAAGTAGTTAATATGATTGACTTTATTAATTATATTTTTTAAATTTTTTTTCATGGTATTAATAAAATACTTGATAAATAAATATATAACATTATTTTGTATTATAACTTTGATATTTAATTAAAAAAATAGTTCTCAAAAAAAGATAATAGACAATGTAGTGAATATAATCAATTGATGAATTTGAATCTAAAGAATTTTTAGATTGGAGAAAAATAAAGACAATATAACTAATAAAATTATTTCTCTTAATTAATTTATTGATAATGAATATTTTTTTTAATAAAGACATTGTAGGGGCAATGTAGCGAATATAACCAATTGATGAATTTGAATGTAAAGAATTTTTATATTTTTAGAATTAAAGAAATGCATATGTATTATTTTTTTGTTGTAGCTACTAAATTATTATTTAATTTAGTAAGAATAAAATAAAGTATTAATTATGCCAACTTTGATTGGGAAGTAATTAATGTTACAACTATTATTTTGGTGAGTAATTATTGTTACAATTATTATCTCTATCCTTATTTTTATAAAACTAGTAGTTGCACCCGTGCGATGCACGGCTATATATATACTGTGTATTATATTAAGTATAATATACTTATATGAAAAGATACAGATTTTGAGCACTTAATAAATTTGAAATAATGAATTTTTAATTTTTATTGGACATTATTGAATTCTTTAATACTCTATTTGTTGAACCCACTGCGATGCAAAGGTACGTATATATTACATAGAAAAGCCGTATAATATAATAATAAGAAGAAAACTACAATTACTAACCGAAGGAAAAATAGGAATAAAACATTGCGTATGTTATTATACATTGTTGAATACTTCATTGTACACAACATTTTTAGTCGTACTAAGACATGGTACATTTTCACCACAAATCAAAATTTTCAAACCCCTTGGGCTACTAACTCTTGAAACCGCTACGTACAATTGTCCATGGTTAAAGACAGGTTTTTTCAACAGCAATCCCACTCTAGAAAGTGTTTGTCCTTGACTTTTATTGATTGTCATGGCATAAGATAGCATCAACGGGAATTGTTTCCGTTGAAATTTGAAAGGCAATCTTGGATCTGACGGTGTCAGTGACATTCTAGGAATTAATACTCTTGTTCCAGCATTTGTACCGCACATGATCTTGCCTTCCAACACGTGTTCAGCTAACCTAGTAACAATCAACCTTGTACCGTTGCATAATCCGAGTGTGTGATCAATATTTCTCAAGAGCATAACAGGTGACCCAACTTTCAATGTCAAAGCATGATTTGGTACTCCAGAACATCTAAGGCCATTCAAGAATTCGGGAGTGTGCAAATATGCTAACATATCAACATTTGAATCTGATTTACAAACGGAATCACAACTCAAGTATGTCTTTCCCTCAGCCGGATTATGGTCATTCATGTATTGGTTAATGCTATCTACGACATCCAATTTTGGAGCCAAAATTGCACTATCATTGAGGTATGACAGATCACCCATCCCTTGTCTAAAATTCGGGAAGGTGCTATCAACAATTGTGGCAATAGGGTCATCCTCGCACTCTAGCAATAAACGTTCAGGAACTGTAATATCTGACCCACCATCAAATTGAATACCAACCGTTCCGTCACCTATATTAGCTATCCATTTTGCAAAGTCGTCGATCTCTCGACACTCTATTTCTAACTGTACACTTCTTAGTCGTAGATTCTTAGTCAGTCGCAATACTTTGTAGGACTTCCATAGATATGAGGAGCTAATGTTTGCACGGACAATATCCTGTCTTGTACCCTTCGGAATGACTGGTAAAATCTGTTTGAAATCCCCACCTAGCACCACTGTTTTACCACCGAATGTCATATCAAAGCTCCTTGGATTTTTGAAACGCATCAAATCCCTCATAGTTCGATCTAGGGCCTCAAAACAAAATTTGTGCATCATTGGAGCTTCATCCCATATGATCAACTTGCTTTGCACAATAAGCTCTGCCAGTTGACTGCCGTGACTTATGTTGCAAGTGGAATCTTCATTAACAGAGATCGGTATGGCAAATCGAGAATGTGCAATTCTGCCCCCTGGAAATAAAAGCGACGCTATACCGCTGGATGCAACATTTAACACTATTTCTCTTTTAGACCTTAATGCGGAGAACAATGCACGCCACAAAAAGGTCTTTCTAGTACCTCCATAACCGTAAACGAAGAATAACCCTCCAGACTGGCCATCAATATCGGTTAACACCTCATTGTATATGAACTTTTGCTCATCAGTTAATTGACTTACCAACTCCAGGTTCTCTTTCTCTTGTTCCACACAGTCGTATGCTAATTCCTCTTGTATAAACCTGTTCGATATAATATGTAATGCGGTACAGTTTGCAGCAGGCATTTCTGGATAGTCCTTCAAACTCTTTCCATGAATAGATAATAGTTTTTCAATCTCCACTAAAGCAAAGTTCATCTTGTGCGAATCGGTCAACACAAAATCTGCATAATGTTATATAAAATTTAAAATTTAACATCCCTACATTTAAGTTAACTTTATATGGTGGTAGCAATATAACAAAAAGTAGTGGTGGAATGTATGTGTACCTCTATTGTGCAATTGTTTCGGGATCTGGAATTGTGCATCATCTGACAAATGTGGCCACACAACATACCAAACGCTTTCCGGTTTACCCATGTAACTGCTCATTAGCAATGTAACAAATAGTCTCCTCAGTTGATCTGCTGACGTCCAATGACTGGCTTCTTCTATTGCATCAACATATTCGTTATCATCATCAACTAAACCTCTAGCATAACACGCGTCTCGAAATGAGTTATAGAGGACACCATTTACAGTCCTAATATCTTCATAACTTGTAGGCCCACGTATTTTATTCAACAGACACCTCAAATAAAATATTTCGCCAGTAGCTGGGGGAACATAAAATATCGGACCAATTGAGAATCCTTTTTTCCTTGGTTGCCATTTTCGGACATCTTTCTTCCAAACGAATTTTGTGGGCATTTCCACATAAGTAAGCTCTCTTGCATCAAGGAAAGTTTTATTCGCCTCAAACCATTCTAAGAACATGCTTTGTGCTATTGTTGGTCTATTTATAATGTTCTCAACAGGATCGTCATCTGAAAATATCACGCTCTGTTGATTTGGAAGGTGAAAGCTTAACCTTTCAACTGAAGGCGCCCTTAGCTGTATATCAAAACCAAACAAACGCCAAACTGCTTCACATGGTGATATGTACCTACAATCGTAGTACATATTGATCTCATCTATGACTTTCCCCTTTTCTTCATCACTGGTTGTGTTGTAGAATTCTGCAGTTACTCTGTCATGACCCTTATTAACGTACTTGAACAGGTACTTGATTGAGCGTGACTGGTTGCACCACTCCACATTTATATGAGCCTTATACTTAAGCAATAAATGCCTATTGTGTGGTACAACATACCTGTTGTCCAATGCGATCCCGTTCTTTGTAACTATATTGCCGTTGTCTCTCCTTCTATATACTGGGTAACCATCGGCATCAAATGTAGAGCTCTCAACAAATCTCTTAGGAAAATGTTTTGAGCATCGTGCATTTACCATACAGGGAGAATTGGTCCTTGCTTTTCCAGATGGCCCATGCATCATAAATTCCTCCACCGCTTTGTAATATTGCACATCTGTCTTTTCATCTGGTATCTCTGCAGAAATTATCTTATCTAGAGTAACAACATCACTAACGTCCTGATTCTTTCCCAAAAAAAGCAATATATGAGCATGCGGGAGGCCTCGCTTTTGGAACTCAATTGTATATATAACTGGCACAGAAAATTAAAAAAAAAAACAAACAAATCAATGTATGGTAATTTTTCTTAATTGTAAACACATGAATATCTTTCCGCCCATTGATGTGAAGCAAAACATGGCGTTGTATGTTCTGATGTTCTAGAGGAATTGTCTATCTTTCCGCCCATTGATGTGAAGCAAAACATGGCGTTGTATGTTCTGATGTTCTGGAGGAATTTTTTTGATAATTCATCATTGCCGAAAAATAGCTCAAATATACCTTTCGGTGGCAACGCATTCTCCTGTAACTTAATCTTGCCATTGTTGCAGCACAATGGAAACATCGGTGGACCTTTAGTGGAATAGTTTTTCTTCCTTTCCTCGAACCAAAACATCGCCCCACAATGGACACAACTATTGCTTGCATCACCGAAATCACAATACTCTTCTGCAAACAAATTGTTATTTAAATAGTCGTCCATAAAAAGTGTACATGCATCGCTATGTTTAAATATGCTATCTTACGAACAAAAATACCATTTGCATGACCAGAGGATGTTCCGGTAACGAAGTTATGCGTTTCATCGTCAATCGCTATGTTTAAATCTGTATACGAACAAAAAAAATATAAATTACTAATAAAATGTGCAAGCGTTAAATTTGACTCTGCTAGCATTCGTTACTAAAAGATGCAGGTCCTAAGAGTACCTGGTATGCCATGGTTGGGCATTGGGATGCGTAAAGGGATAGATTCCTCTTCAAAACCTGATAGCAAGTTTCTTTGATCTACTACCTAAATTGAACGTAATAATACAATTAACCAATATATTTTAGTTTAAATTTTTTGGACATTATATAACATATGAATCTCAGACGTTACCCGTTAAGCAAGACGGTTGTATGGTTGATGATGAGTTTTGACCCTCTCTGAATAAAAATTCCTAGCAATTACTTGACAGTATGTGTCTTTTAGAATAACCTACGGTAAACATACATAATATTTAACGCAAAAGATTTATAATATAGTCATAATACAGCTAATTCATTTGACCAAACTATTCTACAAATATATTTGTCAAATCATATTGATGAAAAGTGTCCATACATACCATGGGCATGAACAGATGACGTTCTTAAATCGGAGTTTTGTGTTTCATCGTCAATCGCAATGTTTAAATCTGAATATATAAACATTACTCTAAATGACTATAAATATATGAAAGCGTTCAATTTGAGTTTAGTATAATTCGTTAAAAAAACATTTGGTTAGTAATGTTACTTAGCTTGGTATGGTGTTATTGCGAATTTGTAGACGTAAAGGGACAGACTCCTCTTCAAAGGCTGATAGCAAGTCTCTTTGAATTACATGTCATTCTTCAATTGCCGACTCATGTATTGTTTTACGCATATGAACTTGATGTGGTGATCTACAACCTATATTTAATACAATAATCAAATTAACAAATATACATATCTTTTAAATGTTTAAAATAATATAACATATTAGTCTACGACGTTACCAGTTAAGCAAGACTCTGGTACGGTTGATATTGTGTTTTGGTTCACTTCAAAAACAATTCCCTGTCGGTTGGTAGAAATTACGTGTGTTTGGGAAGAACCTACTGTAATCATATATAATTCATAAACGTAAAGATGCCTTATATAAGATTAATACAACTAAATAATTTGACAATAATATTCGATCCATAATATAATACACATGATATGTACATTCACAATTAATGTATATCACTAAATTGTAGCTGATTTACCGTTTGTGATGTTACTCAATGGTGTGATATTTTGAGCCAAACACCCTCCAATTGAAGATCGTGTTCGACGCAATGGCGTAGGTTGCTTTGTATTATGTGAATCATTATTTGTTGCTGGTGAACTCAAGCAAGCATTTTCGGTGAAATAGAATAAAAAATTATAAAAACAAAAATTATGACATTCTTATAAATTCATAACACATAACCTGGTAAAATTAACTATTGTACCACAGAAACTTGTAATTTCTATAAATAAGGTTAAAATTAAAAGACAAATTATTTGTTGTTCCATAGACTTAGTGAATTTGTGTACTATTAAGAAGATTAAAATTACTAATAAAATAACATAATTAGCAATCTTATAAATTAAGTACACATAACATCATAAGTTATATTAGGCTATAACATTTTAATTGACCATTACACAAAAAAAAATTGAAAGTTTATCAATTAATTACACATCACATAATTAATTTGAATATTTGTGAACATAAATTTATAATTGGTAATCATAAGGCAAAAATTATACTAAAATTTTTGTAGTGGACCATTGAAGACAAATTTGTGTGGATAATGAGTAACATTATCATAAAAAATAAAATATCGTATTTAAAAATGTTTTCAGTTTTTGGTACACATAACGCCCTTACAATTTTAGTAATGTACAACCTAATCATGTAATTAGTGTCACTAAGACAAACATTAAAAGGCAAATTACATGGTGGACCATGGACCAAAAAGTGTTGTGTACCTTGGATCACAATTTAGTGTGAACCACGGATAAAATCATAATTAAATATTATATATATCATAAATATCTATTTTAGAAATTAAATACACATAACATAATTCATTTTAATATTTTAGAACATAGATTTGTAATTTTTATAAGACAGCCTAACCTTATAAAATAAATTGCTGAACATTACAATATTTAATAAAAATAAATAAATAAATAAATAAATATATATATATATATATATATATATATATATATATATATATATATATATATATATATATATATATATATATATATATATATATATATATATATATATATATATATATATATATATATATATATATATATATATATATATATATATATATATATATATATATATATATATAGGGTCCGAATCAGGTGAGGACCTAATCTTAGGTGAGGACGTGAGGACTAATCTAGACCATTAAATTAGAATGATGTATGATTGAGATTAAAAGAAACAAATCACACGGATTAAGAAAACAAATCCCTTTAAAATATTAAAATATATAAATTTAGGGTAAATCAGTCTTATTAAAAGATGTGCATTCCTATACTGAGTGTTGTGCATTCCTATACTGAGTGTTGTGCATCAATAACTTCATTGTTGTGCATTCAAACCCCGCCAAAAAATCATACAGTGAACATCCAATGTTCTACGATGCATTGAACTATGTGCTATAATGCACAACTCCCTAGCCTATAGTGCACAACTTACAACACTAGGTTGCACAATCAACACACGAATGCACAATCGTACTACCCAGGCATTTATACATATACACGACAATTCAAATATAGACAATATTATACTCAAAAGAACAAGCGAAAAAAAATAAAAAAATACTGATTAGTTTGCATGGGCGAACACTCAATCAATGATGAAGAAATCACGGCTCCAAATTGCAACGGTGATGATCCAAGAAAATAGGAAACCAATTTGGCCAAGACCAAGGATTATACATGCGTTCACACTTAAAAAAAATAGAAAAAGACACTATTATCCCACTTTAACAAAAAAGATCAATCCATGTCATCTCAAGAACTCAAATCTGGACCATCCAAATAAAAAAACAAACGCACAAGATTAGTCCTCACGTCCTCACCTAAGATTAGGTCCTCACCTGATCCGGATTCTATATATATATATATATATATATATATATATATATATATATATATATATATATATATATATATATATATATATATATATATATATATATATATATATATATATATTTATTTATTTATTTATTTATATATTTATATATTGTTTAGTGTCTTCGGTTTAATACACAAGAGATAAGAGATGAGGAGAAGCGTTGACAGCCTTCTCCTCTCTCTGTCCGAACAGATCTCAGAGCTTGAATCTCTCTTCAATACTTTCACGATCTCTCTCTCAAGCCTCTACCTACATCATTCTACTATCATTCTTTTGCCTTCATCTCTTCACGGTCAAACAATTTTTAGATTTATTATCAAATCGGGCATAGATCGCGATACTCCGTCTATGCCTAGATCGTCTGAAATCTGTCATTTTTGGACTCGATTTGTGATTTCAAGCTCGTTTTGAGCTTGAAATCTGGATATATTGAAGCTACTGATCTCATTCAAGGTTATAATCAAAGTTTTATTTTTTAAATTTCAATTAGGGTTTTTTCGTTTTTACTGTTTTTATATACAAAATCTTATATTCTAGTCGACTTGATGTTGTTAGTTTCTTAATAGTATGCATGCACATCGATCTTGTCTAATAAACTTATATGATTTCTGGAAATTTAATTCCAGAATTGTATGATTCATATAAGCTATGGTTATAAATTGATTTCGTTTTACTGTTAATGTATAGAACTATGACTATTTTGTATATATAATGTTAGAATTTCATTTTGTAAAAGATGTAATTGTAGTATTAAACAAACAATTTTGTTAACTGGTTCAATTTGTTTGTCATGTAAACTGAGAGGACAATACTTTGGAGCACTGAGAGGCAATGTGTAGCAGATACAAAATAGCTTAGCAGACTGTTGAATTCATTGAAGCGTGATTAGCAACTTTAAAAAAGATAAGTTTCGAAAATACCTTTGTTTTCTTCATGTGGTTTCCTTTTGATGCCTAGAATAGTTGACTTTGTAATCTGCCTCATTTGCTTGTCTATTCTTTCTTGCTGAAACAGAAGTTTTGAATATAATGTTTTGTCTGAGCTATGATATTGACTGACTGCTTTTCGGATTATAGAATTGAAAAAAATAGTTGTAATTACATTTGTTCATTTTTTAGTATTTAATTGTTTTGATTTTTTGAGATCCGCACTGGAAATGAAGGGTTTTTTATTCTATGTAATGATAGCTGCCATCACTTGTATTTAATATCCAAATCATTGTATTTTTCAATAACAATGAGTAACTGTTAGTTTCACATACTGTAATTTGTTGTATTAATTACTTCGTTTTAACTGGCTAGCAAAACATTTTGTTCCAGTTATTAACAGAAGCTATAATGTGTTTGTTCCATTTGTTTATATAGGGAAAAAAAATGATGACTTAGAGGCATTGGAGAGCAGACCATAATCCCAAAGCGAGCATGTAGACGACAAAGAATGCATCTCTTTCATCTGACAGATTAAGTTACCATTTTATACTTGATTTTGTGTATTTTCAATAGTTTTTATGCCTATAATGGTATATATTTTGTAATTTTGGTCATTGCACTCATTAAAGCAATAGTTAGACAAACTTTCAATTAATTTTACCGTTGTCTTTGTTTTAGATTATACAAAATCTTTCTTGTTTTTGCATTTTGGAATAAAAAATATACTTGAGGAGATTAGTCTTTTCAACTACTTTAGTCAGTAGAGTTCTATAATTTCCTGCCTTTAATTGAGGGGATTTCCAGCTTTTGTTTTTTTTTTTTTATTCACTTTATAAAACTGTGCTAAGCCATTATAAGTAGTTGGTTGTTAATTGAAGGTGTTATACTGGGTATATATATTTCATCAATATAAACATTAACTTTGCATTGGTAGTAAAATTAAACTCTTATGCTTAATAGGTTTTTTTTTTCAAGATTATTCTATAGTTAATAATTACTGTTATAAAGTTAATGTTACAAATCTCCTAAAAGCTGGTTGCTTTTTACTGAAATATACTTTTAATATAATTTATATTACTTTAAGTTAAGAATTAGTTTTTAAACCTAAGTACACAGTATATATTAGACTTTGTTTTGATTTTCTGGTCGACCACTTGAACTTTCAATGTTGCATAGATTGTTACATGCTGGAGCTTTAAGTAAGACTTATGAAGTAACGCTGAATATAGTGCCTTAGATAGATATATTTCCAAATACTTCAGTAAGGAATAATGAATTTTAATACTTATATAAAACTTTGGACTTCTATATTTGCACAGGAAAACCAGCGGGGAAAGTATTTGCAGTGGAGAGATAGCTTTTGTGAGGTTTAGCAGATCGGTATGGTACGGGAAAGTATTTGTTGTGGATAGCCAGCTTTTGTGATGTTTAGCAGATCATTAAGGTACAATTACTAACTTTATAAATATAAATTCTAAGTGATATAGTTGAAATTCTAGTCCTATATGTCTTGCATGCACTTAAATGTATTGATTGCATGGTTAAGTAGAAATAGTAGTAACAATTACTCAGGAGATGTGATTTTTTGGCAATTTTTTGTTGAAATGTTTGTATTACTTTCATTTTACCGAATAGTAGAAGTTAATACTTTACTAAATTCAAATGCAGATGTATTCTAATCTGCCTATTTGCCAATACATGAATGATTGATTCTAATACGCCTATTTGCCAAAAAAGCATGTAATGTGTGTTAGTTAATTGCATATTTGCATTTTATACTAACTTTGTTTTCCAGAAAATTGGCATGTGATGAAAAAAAAAAAAAAAATCTAATGCCCATAGTTTACTGAAATAACAATGCTCAGTAAAATTTTTTGTGGCATGTGATTAAAGTTTAATCTGATGCCCACACTTGTGTAGTTATATAACATGTCTGTTAGTAACCTATGATGTCAATACTTTAATAAATTCAAAGGGAGATGTATTCTAATCTGCCTATTTACCAAAAAAGCATGTAATGTGTGTTAGTTAATTGCCTATTTGCCACTTATACTAATGTTTTTTCCCAGAAACTTGGCTTGTGATTAAAAAGCATGCAATGTTAGAATAGTATAAGTATACTACTTAACCTAGTACACTTTACAAAACAAAATACAGTTCAGTGATTTACAAAACTTGTCCCAGATCCATTCTTTCTAATGACTTGTGAGTGGATCCTTCTTGTTTGTAACCCACCTGAAAAAAAAGTAAGAAAATAGGGAGTTTAGGTGATTGATTTGTTCCACAATGTAATTGTCAATCTTTAATACTGTTAGTAGTTTCATGTTACAAATACCTAGCAGTAGTTAGGTTTTAGGGTCTTACACTTTGTTCCAATGCTTGTCAACTTGGTTTTCCCTGCTCAAATATTTTTGAAAAATCACCTGAAATGAAAGTGAAGAAAACTGCAAGACAGGTTCTAATACCATAGGTCAATTTAACATTTAACATTATCATAACACAGTTATATATATATATATAAAAAAAGCATTTCAACCTTAGCAAACCAAAAAAAACCAAAGCCGTTAAATTAGTAGGACAACAAATTAAAAATCCATCAGGCAAACATCACAAAAACATTGTTAAAAATTGTCTACATCGGAAAAACAGTAGCAAATGTATAGTCCACAGTAACATGCATTTTCAGTAGAAGTTCATTCAAGTTGTCTTCTCCTTCTTGATGTTGGATGTTGTTGCTTTCTTGCGACTTTTGGATGAGGAAAACTCATCCAAGAGTGACCATTTGGTAGTTAAGGAGTTGACCGCAGTGTCATCCAGTTCATGTTGAGAGGGTTGCATAGAAGCAGGACTATTAACCTCTACTCCTATAGATGCTTCCTGTATATAACACAATGGATTAGTCAGTTTTAGTAGTAGGTAATAAAAAAAATGAAAAACATAGTTAGAGGTTTAGTAAGAAATTCTTACTTCAGAATTTGCAGCACTGTTTGTTTCCTCCTCAAGCATCTTTGAGATTAAATCCTGCTCTTGGTGCTCGACAAACCTGTCACTATAAGTCTAGACCAAATGTTCGTCCCTTAACAGCCTCAACACATTGAAAGGAGAATTATTACCCCGCTTTAGAGCCAGTTTTAACCCTACTTTAAACAACATCTTCATTTCCACAATAACATCCAACTCAGGGGGTACTTTAACATCAGCCTGCCATTTGAGATTGCATTAGTACATTACAGTAGACCATCTACAACTAAAACATAAGTTAATTTGAGGGAAAATAAATGTACCTCCTTGTATTTCTGATACAAAAGGCAAGCAGGGATTCCAACCAGCTCAGCAACTTCTCTGTCCCAAAGCAATAGTGGAGCATCTCCACTCTTGTCTAAAGCCATGATGACCACCTTATACCTGACCGTACCCTGAGTATATGGCTTATGACACTTAGTGCACACAAGTGATCCTCCGTCTTCTTTTAATTTCTTATTACAGCCGGCTGACATGCATGATACATAGTACCACCCATCATCAAGATCTAAACCCAAGATCTCAGCAGCAACATAGTATTCCCCATCCTATAGTGGGCATAAAAAAAAATTAATGTATAGAACATACATAGGAACTCAGATCTTAAATAAGTAAACATTGCAAGTAGTTTCTGTTTCTTACCACTTGTGTCTTCTTAAGGTCGTAGCAGGTAGTCACAATGAGTCCAGCACTTTTAAAGTCACTAATGCCAACTGACTGTGAGTGCAGAGTGCCCGTACTCAAACTTTTCATGGGAGTATTTTCAGATTTCATGCTTCATAAACAGGTTTAAACAAAAATAGTGGTTAGCAATATCAATCATTCTATTGACTGGCAGATAATTGGTATGTGAACAAATGTTATAAAAGTATGCCAATACTTGACCAAATGAATAGAATGATTGATTCTAATATGCCTATTTGCCAAAAAAGCATGTAATGTGTGTTTGTTAATTGCCTATTTGCATTTTATACTAACTTTTTTTTCCAGAAAATTGGCATGTGATGAAAATAAAATCTCACGCCCATCATTTACTAAAATAAAAATCCTCAGTAAAATTTTTGTGGCATGTGATTAAAGTTTAATTTGATGCCCACACTTGTGTAGTTCTTTAACATGTCTATTAGTAACATATGATGTCAATACTTTACTAAATTAAAAGGCAGATGTATTCTAATCTGCCTATTTGCCAATACATGAATGATTGATTCTAATCTGCCTATTTGTCAAAAAAGCATGTAATGTGTGTTAGTTAATTGCCTATTTGCCTTTTATAATAACTTTTTTGGGTCCAGAAAATTGGCATGTGATGAAAAAAAAATCTCATGCCCATACTTAACTGAAATAAGGATCACAAGTGACATTACTGTGGCATGTGGTTAAAGTTAAATCTGATGCCCACACTTGTGTAGTTCCATAAGATTTCTGTTAGTAACATATGATGTCAATACTTTACTAAATTCATCGAATGATTTATTATAATCTGCCTATTTGCGTAAAAAACATGCAATGTGTGTGAGTTAACTGTCTATTTGCCTTTTATACTAACTTTTTTTTTCCAGAAAATAGGCATGTGATGAAATTATAATCTGATGCCAATACTTTATTGAAAAAGTAATCATAAGCTAATTTTTTTTGGCATGTGATTAAATTCTAATCTGATGCCTACAACTGTGTAAGTACATATAACACATCTGTTAGTAACTTATAATGACAATACTTCACTAAATGCACTTTAAACATCTTCTAAAGTGCCTAAGTTTTTAAATCTGACTTAGTGCTTAATAGTTCCAGCAATTAAAGAATTACATTATATAAAATGTGATGCAATATTTAACTTACTTACAGATAACATTACAGAATTACATTAGTGTACTTACTTCGACTTGAACTCTAAGAATTCCTCAAAATCCTCATTGAACCATAGCTTGGTAGCGTCATATGAGCTGGTGATTCTAACCTCACCTGGAAAAAAAATACATATTAGTTGACTGGAATGAGTAAAGCTGCTAGAATGTGCATGAGGATAGAAACTCACTACTAACCAACTTAGCACGACAACACTGAATCACTACAATAAGTGGTTCTTTTGAATCACTATTGTAATATGGCATGAGTGAAGCAACGTGTTCATTCCATAGAGTACATGTCAGTGTGTTCTCACTGCCATGACATTAGTAGAAACCAAAAACAATTGATATCAGTATAAACTTAATACTGATAGGAAAAAACAGAAAAAAAATAAGTGTGAGTAGTAAAAACACAAGAAAAATTAGTACTTACACATTATCCTCAATCTGAAAGTCAATCAGTTTGGTTGCCTTTCCACCTATAATCTTATCCACAGGATTATAGATCTCAATGACACGACCAATAACATCTGCCAAATGAAAATTTTTTCAGTAAGATGTTAGCAGTTCAGCTTAACATAAGATATTAAAAAATAGAGAAATGAAGAGATAGTACCAATAAGTTCCTTGTCGTTCACATCTGCAGTGTCTTTTAAAGAAATGAAACTCTTTAATCGAAACATTTTAAAAGGAAATCCTAAAGAGTTTATCTCCTTCACTTCTGTCCTGTAGTTCAATTTGATCATATATGCATGCTGTGTAATCTTGTACACATAATAATTTGTCGCAGCCATGGAATTTTTTATTTCGTACAGTTTTCCCTCCTTGAATATTTCTCTATATTTCACATCTTTTTTTTGAATGCTAGCATGAATATAGCTTCCCTGAAAAAAACAAAAACAAAGATTACTGATATATGAAATAAGATTAGATTAATAGGTAACAGTTACATGATGCATTAAAAATATATAGCATTACCTCTTCATCATGCATTAGTACTTCCATACTCTTACTGCTGTTACCCTCTCCCCTTTTCTCTGGCACTTCGAATACCCTGACTGCTCTAACACGAACTGCCCTGAGCTGGTGTTGAGGTTTGATGTCCTTCACAAGTATGAACATTGACGGCATTGTGTTCAACAAAATGATATTTGAAAAGCGCTGTAAGCAAACAGTTTTTTCGAGTAGTAAGAATACTTTACACCAATAAGACGATTATTTATAGACCTTGAAGCGTTGGATATTTCAAATGAATGATCAACAACTTGTGTATGGGAAATACACAATTTTTCAAAATGTATTAATTGCAGAGTAAAACTCTGCGTCTTCTATGTATATATCTATTTTTTTGTTTATTATGTGAGCATCTTTTTATTCAACCTTGGTTATCCGAGCATGATAATGATGTTGTTTAAAGTACCTAGTATTCTACATTAAATGTATTTCTTGAGACGAAAGGACTTTAGTGTTTTATAATCGCTTTAGAATACGAAGAGTTGTCTAAAAGAAAACGGCTAAGACGAAACGACATTAGGCACGCGTACAAATTCAAAGAACCGACTATTCTATCATTTATGTGTTTGCAAAACGACGTAGTATGCAATGGGCGGGAAACAATGATTGCATAAAAATGCACAACGGCGTTTTATCCAATGGGCGGGAAAAAATGATTGGCAAAATTTTCTTGCTTTATTATAGAGTTAGATAGCCACAACATCATTTACTATAAAAAAAAAAACACAACATTTGAAAAATAAAATAGCTATTTTTTTCTCGCTCATAACAAAGGATTACATTTATTGAATTAATGGAGTTATTAAATGTTATGATATTATGATTAAGGATTCCGATTCCCGATTAATAGAAAATATGAAACAATACAATATTAATTAAATCTTTGGCTTTACAATGAAAGTCTATTTGATATGCTTTTGTTATTTATGGTGCTTCTTGGGATTATAATATTAATTAAATTTTTGATGAAAGCCTATTCGATATCCGAAACAGTTCTATTAATGCAAGCCTCTACATATAATTTTTCTCCTATAAAACACCCCAGATCAAATCCATGTGAGCGTAAACTGCAGCAATTTGTCCTACCATTTGTGTATTTTCATGGCCATGGCGGCGGAGGAGACAAAAGACGGTAGAATGTAGAGGAGGCTCTAACAATCACACCTACAAAAAAAAAAAAGGAGTAAACAAAATAGAAGAATCATGGAAAGTGGTAAAAAAAATGGAGTCAGACATTAAGGAACCACCTTCTACATGTAGAGATTGTGGAGTGTACTTTTCTATATTCTCAAATGCTTCAAAGAAAGGGCAGAAGCGAGAAGGGATGAAGAAAGCAAATGATGCGGGCCGTGGGTCAATTATTGGACTTCAGAATTAAAAAAAAAAAAATCATTTGAGCCATAAATAAAAATTTAAATATATAAATATATATATCGTATGGGTCTTTAATGTTTTTCTAGATTTCTAAACTTAGGACTTTTAAAAGAAAAAAAAAAATCCATTTGAATTATCTCCACAGAAACTGGTCTTGGACTTATAGAATGACATTTGGGTTTATAGAATGACATGTGCATAAAGAATATATTATATAATCATATAAAAAATTATTCAATTAGAGTTTAAATTTACTCATACAAAATTTGAAATTTGCTTTCTAAATGTAATTATCTTAGTTATTATTGGTATTGTGAAAATTATAATATAGATTAAATACAATTAAGAATAAATTAATGTAATTATGTAAATTCTCTCTATAAGTTTATTTGAATATGTACATAATTAGAGATTATATTAACCATACAAATTTTTAATTTTAATTTTAATTGTAATTTTGTATTCTATAAAAATAATAAATACTTGAGCAATGAAAGCTCAAAAATATTATTACATTAAACAATTTAAAATATTTTTATTTTTTCTATTTTCTATTTATATTTATAATAACATATTTTTTTCCGTGCATCGCGGGTAAATTACTAGTTATAAATATACTCTAAATTAGCATATTTACTTGGTCCTTGACTAATTGACTATCATCCTTATCAAATTAAGTCCTCAACTTTGCAAATTTTGCCGGATTTCGTCCTCCGTCTCTTTCACCGTGAACCTCCGTCTAAACAAAGGGTAATAATGTAAATTACTGGTAGTGTAAACAGAAGCTCTGAGATCTCCAAGGGAACAAACGGTGAACTAAGCAGTGTTTGTCGAGAAATATTAGGTGCGGTGCGTCGACAGAGATGGAAGTGGAGGGTCGTTCGGCAATGACGTCGAAAGCTGCAGGTACTGATCCTTAAAGATCAAGAACGTTTCGCCGGAACCCACCATCGGTGAAGCGTCGAAAAGGGTGTTGTTTGAGGACTTGCGTTGGACGGAGAACTGATGATGTCGAGGTACTGATGTTGTGTTGTAATGATTGAAAACGAGGTTTGGGTTCGGGTCTGTGACGGAAAACTGATGATTCTCTCCGGCGAACTGAGCGTGGGGACAAGAATTTTTTGTGCGAGGTATGAATTCTTCTGGGATTTCCCATCTCTCATTACCTGCATATGTGATTTTCACTCTCAAACGACCTGCTGCCTCAAAGTTGCATCCATACACATAGCATTTAGCACGAAAACAACCGTAAAAATTAGGGAGGGTGCACTGGGTAACACAACCTCAGTTTTTCTTCTTCTTCGGCAGTTCGGCTACAATACTGCAATTCCTCATAATAGGAGAAACCAACATCCCTCCTACAATGATGCAGCTCTGCAATTCACTCCCGAACTCGGCCGTGCATTTGAGCGCGGATCCGTCTCTAACGAAGGATTCATGTCTCGGAAGCCTGAGCTCCAGTCCCCGAATTTCACTGAAATTCCGCAGAATATAAGCCGGTGAATAGTAATTGTAAGCGGTGAAGAGGGTTACCCTACAGGTACATCCGGTGGCGGAAGAGAAAGGGGACTTGGATCCGATAACGGGCATAAGAGAATGAAACGGCCGAATGGCGCGATAGCTGTGTCAATTTACAATATTACCCTTGGTTTAGCCTTTAGACGGAGGTTGCGGTGAAAGGGATGGAGGACGAAATCGGGTAAAAATTGTAAAGTTGAGGATTTAGTTTGGTAAGGATGATAGTCAATGACCAAATCGGTAGTTTCTCAATAGTCAGAGGACCAAATCGGTTATTAACTCTTTTTTTTTTTGTTCTTGATTTTTGTTGATGGTATGATAATTTTATTTGTTGTTAAGTTTGATTTCTTGCCAACATGTTAGGCATTTTAAAGGTTAAATATGTCTTTTTAAAGCATAAATTAATAAGCTGATATTATACGTTACTCAAAGCAATGTTTTCCATTTGGTTGATTGTCCCAAAAAGTCAATTATCAAACACATTTTTTGACTGTTTGATTAGGTCAATCAACTAAAATTGATCAAACAAGTTAAAAATGACTAATAAGCCAATAATCAAACATCCCCATAACTTTAGAAGTAAATAGATGGTTACAAGCTAAAATGTCAATTGCAAGAATTTTGGATGAACGGGCTAAACTCACCTTGTGACTCCAGTCAGCAAAGGACCAAGAAGGTAAACCAATCTAGGTTACTGACTATTGGGAATTGAGAGTTAAATTTGTAATAATCTACTAAGAGTCAAATTTGTAATAATATGGACTCGTTGTGGTTACAAAGTCAACCGCCTTTGGTGCGCACAAAAATCTATCAACTTTGGACATAATCTCCACACTGTCGTCACGAAGTTCGAATTTTGTTTTTCACTTAAATACTATCTAGTGAACTATTGAACTAAACACGTGCAGACTCCTTGCAATTACTCTTATTCTTATTTTTTGGATGTAGAAGTCAATTTTGATTTTTACCAACTAGTAAGTTTCCCGTGCGATGCACGATCATTAAATATGACCTCTTAATAATTTAAAATTATCGTATAATCTTCTTATTCTATGTAATAGCAAAATGTTTTTTTAATAATTCAACATTTGAATAAGAAACACTTAATCACAACTCAAATATTTTATACCTCCGGATTCATATATAACTCTGACAACCTAGTAGTTGCATCCGTGCGATGCTCGGACATATGATACAATAGTAAGATTAACAGTTGACAGGATAATAGGGCTGGCATCCGACCCGGATCACAAATGAGCATCTGACTCAGCATCACATGGGAACCCAACGGGCAGAACTCCAACGGTTAGAATTCCAACAGGTGTCACCTTTATTGTCATTGAAGCCACCTTTGATGCCACCATTGATGAGAGAGAGTTAAAGCCTCAACGCCTCATTCATGACTCTTGATATTCTTGCCGTTAGCTCAGCTCCCCAAGGATGTCTCTTCATGTTGTTACCGTTAGGACCTAGCATAAATAGAACTTCCCTCAGCTGAGCAGGGGACACACTGTACTTTCTATACTGAGACAAAAGGCAATACAACTATTGTTACTTTCTTGTCCGTTACTCTTATATTATATTTCCGGTAACATTATTACCGTCATTGGTGCTTTCATTGAGAGCCTGAGTCCAATACTCAAGCAGGCTACGACACACACAACTCATTCCTCTTTCAACAGCAAGCTTGAAAGAATGGTGTCCCGCAGCTCCCACAGTTCCCGCAACGTGAACAATGGCAATGCCTCAGGTGACCTCCTGGACCAACTCACCAATAATCGCGGAGGGGACCTCCGAGAACAGCTCAACAACCGGAGACCCGGGGACCTTCGAGACCAACTCAACAATGGAGGAAACCTTCGAGACCAACTCAACAATGGAGGGGACCTTCGAGACCAGCTCCACAATGGAGGGTCGAACCAAGTCGTGAACCTCCAGGCGACCATCCAGCAAGCGGTGGCGGTGGCACTAAACCAAGTGGCGGTGGAACTACAAGGCCAAGTGCCCCCGCCGCGGCCCCAGGAAATAAGGGTTGAGACCCAAAGAAGTGGACCGGCCAGACGACAACCAGGCCCTTCCCAATCTGCACTAGAACGATTGGGACAAAGGGCGCCCGTGTGGCAAAGATTAGGATCACGGGCCGAGGGATCCTCTACCAGAGGTCCTCGCCAACACGAAAACAGAGAAGCCGAGAGATCACCCACAGAGGAGGTGGGCGAGTCTCGGGAGCCGACCCCACGTCAACACGTTGATGA